ATAAGAATAATAATAATAACGATAAAATACACTGCCAGTCTTTGACCGTAGAGCTTAATGTGAAATGTGGGACCGTACTACAAGAAGAAAAAATCCAAATTAATATGGAATTTTGAATAATATATTTTGATTTTTAAAAAGTATTGAATTATTCAGCACCCAACGCTTACTTTTTTTTATTTTGACAAAACGGCAAGCGAACACTGAGCGTGTATGTAGATTTTGTTAGTGTAATTTGGTTAGTTCGAACTCCCACCGCTTCAATTTATAATTTAAATCAAATGCATTCGAGTGCGGCGCTGCTTGCATGTTCTTATTCTTACGCACAGTGTTCGACGGCAAGTGTTTTTCTAAGCAGTGTTTGCTTGCTTACTGCCAATAACGAAAAAGAACGCCCAACGGTATAATTTGACAAAATTTGATCAAAATCTGTGCTCCCAAAAAGCCAAACTTTCCATCTTTTCTGGTTCTCTCTAAAATTACCGAACAAGAATAATCTATAAATCCCCATCCTCCTACGCTTAATGAAATCAACTACGTTTCACATTAAGCAAACAAAAAATATATGTATATGGTTGATATGAATTGCTGGCAGAGCGACAATAACTGGAGGCTATGTTTGTGTCTATTTTCACATCATCTCAGCTCAATAATAATAGAAAAAATGATTTTTTATAACTTGATGATTGAAATGCACGGAAAGAGCTCATAACCGATTTGAATGTGTCTGAGCGTTGTAACTGAATGCACAGTTTATTGATAAAATATTGTACAGGGAGACTGAGAGAAACGTGATGTTTGTGTTATTTGTATGTGTGTACTTTTGTTTGTATGTTTAACGCATTTAAATGAAGAAGAGAAGAGAAAACCATCCGCCGTTGATGAGCGCCACGCATGTTACACGACCAATAACTATGCCGACGAAAACTGGAAAAAGACACAATAAATAACAATAAAAATGGGATCAAAATTGTCTATGCATACTAGTAAATGGTTTGTTTTTATCTTTGCTTCGCTCCTTCGCGACAGCAACAGCCGAACGAATTCGTTTGAAACGCAAACGACCCAATCAGTTAGACTGATGATGATCAATGTTTCTCTTTTTTAAAGAAAGAAGGGTAAAAGAGAAAGACACTTTAACGAAGTGATTCCATTTGTTTGATCAACTCATTCGGATGATGCGCACATCATTGAACAACAATGAAATAATACTATGTTTTTTGGTTACCACTACTGGCTTATTATGTTCAGAATTAGATTATACAATACAAGTAACTGAAACGCTAATAAAATCTCACATAGTTTATTATCTCATGTGTTGAAAAATAATGCCATTTTCATCGTATGCATATGGACGAGTACCGACGAATGCCATTGTAGTGTCGAATGCAAAACAATATCGAATGCTCATTTCATTTTCCTCTACATTAAATGCACGAACATCCATGAATTTTCAACATGACGCACAAACTGAAAACACCGAAAATAGAATCCGTTTTCCGTTTTATTAGTGTATCGTTTTTGGTTTGAATTGGAAATTAGATTTTACAGCTTAACGCACTCGTATTCACTTTGGCTGCTTTGTTATGCTTATATCTTACAATTTCGATGGATAATTATTTGTTTATCGTTTGTACACAATCATTTTGCATACCACAAAAAGCATTTCAAAGCATTAATGTTTGTGATACCATTCATATTGTTCGATGGTGAAAGATAATGATGTTTTGCGAACAATGCTACGTCGCGCCTCATGCCATTTTCAACATCTTTACGAGTACATAGCACATACACCAAATATAAATCGATTTAATTTTTCCAAGTGAGCCCAAGGATCAAAACAAATGAGTTGTCCATAACACCATCTACTGGCATGGATAGATATAGGTGTTATTATATGTAATTCGGTGACAAAAAAAGGACTGACCTGTTGACTCTATGTAGCCGTGTCATCATAGGTGTTGACGGGAATTTTGGGTGGTGATGTTGTTTTTTCTTGCTCTTCGCTTCAATGCAATAGGATCCAATTGAGTTCATTGAAATAATTCGAGATGGCGCGATCTAACGAAATTCGCACAAAAATCTCTCCAATCTCATACAAAATGTTCTCTACTTGAATTTTTGATTACCTCTTACATTCCATTTCTAATACTCCATATAAAAATATAATTTAGTTTTTACAAGCATTAACGTAAACCATTCGAAACACTTGCGCGCGCTATATATTAACCATATATTGGTTTTTGTTTAAGTGCAAAAAAAAAAAGTTATGCTTTTAGCAATCGGATTGGGGAATTTCATATGGTCTAGACTTAGTAATAAGGAAACCTTTCTCAGAATTGAGAGCCCTATAATGTGCGATTGGTGTGAATGTGTATTTGTGTAAACAAAAAAATTGATAAATTCAGGGTGGGCTCGTCGAGTCGATATTATTGATGTCTGATGTGCACGGTTGAAATGTTCGATTTTTTTACGTCGAATTTTATTACCCACATGTTGTCGTTTTTATTGGCGGTTTTGTCACTTTAACGATCTGCTTTGTCAGTTTTATGTGCCATTTTTTGTATTTATCCGCGCGAATTTGTTTTATCGAAATTATCAAACAGCCACAAATAGACTCACATCTGATATTGTATTGTAATAAACCGATTCGAGATTAGGTTTCTTTGCCGAAAAACATCGGCTCTCCTTCTAGAATCAAAAGCGACTACTTTTTTGCTGCAGCGCTCGAACAGAGAAGATAAACGTCATTTCTGCTATCTAAATTGGTAGCATCATGGATGAATTATTATACGATTTTTCTGAATATTAGTTGGTGAGCGAAGGAAAATGGAAAACAAACGCGCACACAAACAGTGCTCATTAAAGAATTTCTCTTGATGAAGCAGCTATGATAATAAAAATATAAAATAAAACAATTAACAATTGACTATGATTTGGGTCGTTGTTAGTTAAAACAAATGAAAATCCATTCACTTGGTGTAATCCTTTTAAAATGAAGTCACAAAAGTATCGGAATGAAAAACGGCAACAAAAGTAAATAATGGATTGTTTGTGCAATAAATTGTGTTTTAACTACGATAACGTTCTCAGTTTTCCTTATTTTCAAGCAATAAATATATCCAAACATGCATTCAACGAAAACGAAGACGAAAAGGAACAATTCATGTATACAAAAACCTCAACAAACCCAGTGCATTGTGTTTTTGCTACGTTTTTAAACTGTACGACGATTTTAATTTACGCTCCTTAAAATAATTAAACTGAAAGAAGTGTTTTTTCTTCAAACAATTGTAAATTTGAAGCACATTCGAGTTGAAAAAGAAAAATACTGCAAAACAGTCATTTCTTTCGAAGATGCTTCTGAAAAACAAAAATAAATCATTTCAATGAAATTTTCCAAAATCTGATTAAAAAAATTAACAAATAGAAAAAAATGTTGAAGGACAGAAGGGTAGGTCGCAAACTACAGCAAAATTTATTTTCGTGTCCAAGTCGGAATATATTCAGAGAAATGTGAAACGATATTGCGTTGCAATTTGACGACCATATATTCACGAGAAAATTAATTTGTTCAAACCCAAACCATTTGGTAGAACAAAAATGCAATCGAAAATCAAATGGAATTGTTGTTATTCAGTGTGTTTGCTTTTATTTGGAATCAGGTGTGGAAATGGTCGCATTTAAAGTTGATGTGGAACTGAATGAACAAAAGATCTACTTTGATGAAAACGTAACACATCGAAAAATCCAACCGGATTTCCACAGAGTGTAAAACACAATTTCACAAATTGACACACACACCACTTTTAAAATAAATAACCTGGAGAATGTGGATGCATTTTCGTTCTGCTATCATGTATATCTCATGTTTTGTGGTTGACGATGTGAAGTGACAACTAAATCGTTGCAAACATTGCTTTAGAAATTCACTTTAAAATGGGATCTTTTCAACTTGCTACAGGTTTCACTGCATAAGTCATAGCGCGTTAAAATGCAGACGTAGCGCCACATACCTTCAGCGTTTGGAACAATGATATATGTTGAATGAAATTGATGTTTCATATTGTGTAAATTTAAATTTTCAAAAATCTGGTTCGATTTTATGAAAAATCAGTATATTTCGCAAAGTACATGGCGATCGCGTTGCATATTCTCAATGTTCACACAACATCCACTATGGCGTTAAATTTAAAGATAAAGAAGTGGTCAAAGTGTGTTATTGTTTCCGAATGTAATTGTAATAGAAAAGTGGAAAAGTGAAAACACACTGGTGTCCGGTATTCGACATTTGTGAATTCGCCATACAAAAGCATTTTAGAGTTTGATGTTCTGGATAAGATATTGCATATATTATTTATTCTAATGTAGAGCTACGGATCTTGGTATTCCCATGCAATCAGTTTGCTCATCAAATGCCTGAACTGGATGGTGATGAAATGCTTTGCCATTTAAAAGCAAATAATGCAGATACGGGCCAAATCTTAGCAAAAGTTTCAATTTATTTTAATTTTGGCGTTTTAAAATTTAAGATCCTTTCAGGTCATTAGTTCAATGTGTTGAAGCGCTATTAAGACATACATTTCTTTTCGTATACTTGGGTCAATGTAAATGGAGACTCGGCTATTCCATTGTATAAATATTTGAAGCGATAGTACAGCGTTCCAAGTACAACCGATGTTGAGTGGAACTTTGAAAAGTATTTGATCGATAAAAATGGTAAATTTGTGGACGTGCAGCCAATAAACGTTTTAGATGACATTAGGGAACTATTTTGAATTGTGTGTTTGACATTAAGATCTCAGACACGTTTAATAAAATATTTCGTTATATTATTTTATTCAAACTTTCACCAATTATTACTTTAAATTGTTATGAGTAGAGAATATTTGAATGATCACACATTTTTTTGATGAATAAATGAAAGTCTCCTTTTTTTCTTTTTTTCCAAAAATAAAAATTATTTTGTATCATTTTATTTAAGCTAAAAAGAACATGTCGTGTGTACAGTTTTACTAAAGTGGTAAATGCACATTTTTCTTCATTTAAAACAAATAATTTTTATTCGTTAAAATTCATTGCTTCTATTTTTATTGATTCTAATTCGATCATTAACTTATCTTTTTCGTGGACATCATCGTGTCCAGGTGATTTTATTTCTTTCGGTGTGTTCCATGGTTGGACTTCTGCTGAAGCCCAAATGGAATATATAATCGTTGTAACGCCAAATATAACAAATGTTATCCAAAAAACGATCCGCCATTCGGTTAAAGATGACTGTAAATAAAAAAAAATCTCCTCATTTGGATGTTCAATGAACTAAATTATTAATTGAAAAAAAAAAAACTCACGTTTGGTGTCATTACACCAACAAAAACTGGTGCAGCCACACCGGTCAATGCTCCGATACCATTTGTTACAGCCTACATAGAGACGATAGATGATCAATCAAAACATTGTAATTAGGTTGAAAAAAATTCATGTTACCATAATTGAACCTGCATAATTTGGGCTCAAGTCTAATGGGTTCACTTTCATGCCCGGATAAAATGTGCCCATGAAGCCCATAGCCAATGTGAACATAACGACAACCAACATTTTATCACATCCAGCATATGAAGCCAACACAATGAATATAGCAGGGAAAATGGCAGCTGTAAAAGAAAAACAAAATCCAAATAGCTTCATTTCATTTGATTCATTAAAATTTGTTGAAAAAAATTAATATTTTTGGACCAACCAACGGCAGTGAACCATTTGCGTGCTCCGGTAATCGTAAGGAATTTACGACCAATCATGAAATCACTGAGCCATCCAGTCGACACTGAAACAATCCACATCACCAAATATGGCAAAGATGAATAGGTTCCATTGTCTTTGATTGAAAATTGTAGCACTTCGCTCATATATTTTGGCAAATCAGATACCATGATATAAAATCCCCAATCGTGACCAATCTATTTTGAATGATATTTTTGGTTTAATTAATATGATTCATTCTCTCTCTTTCTCTCTCTCTTGAAATTCATCATTACACCTGTGCGCATACGAGTGCAATCATCGGAACAGATGTTAGAATCGAAGTCCATGGTGTCGCTGGCAAATGTTTATGACGTTTCAATTGTCCGAGCTCAGATTCAAGATAATCACGTTCTTCCTTTGTTATGAATGGATGGCAATCTGGATTGCTATAGCAAATACACACCTAAGATGGTAAACCAATTGAAATTTATCAGCTAATTGCAATGATAAGAAAGAATTAAAGAGAAACCTACAAAAATCAAGAACCAAATGATCGAAATGACACCAAAAACGTAGAACACCCATGGCCATGAATATGATGATAAGATCATACCTGACAGCAGATTTCCGGCTACTGTTCCAATCTGCAAATTATAGAATTAAAAAATCTTTTCTTTTCATTTATTTGAACAAATTTACACCTTAAAATTGTCGCTAATTGTTGCATACCTGACCGCCTCCGAAAACGAATGATCCCAGTTTGCTTCTTTCTTTTTCAGGCACCCATGATGCAAGCAAAACACTTAAAGCTGGGAATGTTGTGCCTTCGCCTAAAAAGTGAAAAGAAAAACACATTTTAATATAAAGAGATAGCACTTCAAATGAAAATAAATAAATATTTATACCGAGGCCCATCAAAATACGCAACACAATCAATGCAACGTGTCCACCTAGTGAAAAAAAACTTAAAATTTATTTAAATTTCAAAAAGCCTGAAGCCAAGTTGCAAGTATACCTTGTTGAACGGCATACGGTGTTAGAAGAGTGAAAATTGCCGTTGATAAAATTCCCAGTCCTAATGTCCATTTGCCTCCATATTTTTGAGCAATAACACCACCAGGTAAGTGTGTAAGAACGTACCCAATATAAAATGAGGATAAAATCCATCCTTGCTGCTCTTGCGTCCAATGGTATTCACCGCCATCACTGTGACCCTATTCGATGAATAAGTGGAATTAAGAAGGATAATCAATCATAAAAAAAGAAAATGAACCTACCGTACTTGATCCCAGCATGATAGGATCAGCCACACATATACTGTTATTGGATTCTGTCACAATTTCGGTGTGATTTGGTTTCGCCACCATTTCGGTGATGGCCACCGATAAACAAACACGCATTACATACGCAATTGAAATTCCGAAAAAACAAATAATCGCCATGATTATGCGTTGTGGAATGCAGAAATCTAGACAAAACAAAAAATGTGCATCATTCCATTTCATTTATTGCGAATAAAGAACGAAAATGCTTTAGACCTTGTCTTATTTTCTTCTAGCATTTGTTGTTTTGTTCACATTCAATGCATATGTTTTGAAGAAACAGTACGAAACATTTGCAGTTGCATTCGCAGATTGGTATACTAACTAAGCATGCACAGAAATCACGATACAAAAAAAAAAAACAAAAAAAAATGTTCGATGCTTATCAATGTACATAAAAAATTAGTTTTTTAGGAGAAATTAAATTGTTTTTATTTAGAATGTTATATCCGAAGTCAATTGTGCACACATGCATCAGCAAACATCCGCGGTTTTTGTATGAGCCATGCGCAAGCACCACCAAAACACTAGCAATTTTTATATGGGCCATACGCAAATATGCGCAATTTTATCAAAGTTCAACGCATGATTGATTTGAACTAACTGTCCAACGAACGACGCTGTTTATTTTCTGTTCAACAACATCTTATGAATACGTATGATTCTAATGCGTGTTGAACACAACGACAAAATACTTCACACAGCAAACTCATACATCGTTCTTGCACATGAGTGTACGAGTATCTGCATGACCTTCACCTTTTTATAGCTAAATTCAAAACCATTCATAATATTATCAATTTTTGTGTATTGCTATCTTTCGTGTCGATAACGAATAGAAATAGATATGTATAGACAACGATCATGTGTTTGATTTTTTTATCTCTGGTCGAAAATAAGAGTTCGCCACGAATGAGTGAAAAAAGAAATGAAAGAAATTAAGTTATATCAGTGTGCGAATCCTTTTGCGAATATTTGTGTGAGAAATCTATTCCCACGCACTGCGGTACATTCTGATTAATTGAGTTAATGAATTGTAAGCGATGATGATCATTAAACCTAGAATTCGTCAAGGAATAGCATACATTATGATTTACAAAAAGAACTGTTTCAAATGCTTATAGTTCAGTTTTTTCTTCAAAGCATTATCATTTACGTCATTTTTAAATCATTTATTCTTATCGAATATCTATTGTGAAATCGAATACATGGGTATTTTCAAACTTTTGATTTCGTATTTAATAAATAATGAAAAGATATCATTCTATTTGTACCCATAAACATTGTTCACTTATTTTCAATGAAAAATTGAATACGCTGATTTCACAAACACTTTATTTTATTCCAGTTCAATCGGTGAATAAAACTTAATTTATTTCATTATTATTTGTAAATCACACAAACATGAATCCATGTTTCACTTACATTTTGCAAATTTTGATTGTCCCATTTTTTTAAAAAAATAAACTAATTTCCGGTTGCCAATGGTCGAAAAAATGCAAATGACAGTAATCGTTGAGTTTCGTCGGTAAACACTTTGTTTCCAAAACAGTTAAAAGTCGTGGTTTGATGACAAAACGACTCGTCAGTTGAAAAATCTTCAAACACACTGTTCGGAAAGATACTTTGAGACGCACTAATTCGTTCAAACGCGAACGGAAAATGTTAAAAAAATGATAGACTCTATCGCACCTAATTTTATTATACATAGCATTGAATGATTGCCATCAATGCTTATCTCAATGCTTTCGATTTTACTCCAGCTACCGATCATAGACGTGTATAGTTGCCAAGTGAATTGTGTATCGCACACTTACACACTAGGGGAGTCGCTCACTCTCAATGTTGGCCAATATGACCAGCATAAGTAGATATTTTGAATATTTTTATTGATTTGATAGGAATAAATCGGCAAATATCGGCAAAATGACAGTTCAAGCATTCCAATAGCCGCCATCCACTCAATTGGTTAATATTCATATGTTTAGTTGATAAATATACGTGAATATTTTAGTTTTTTGTAGATATGTGATAATATCTAGATTATTGGAATAATAAACCATTTTTTTGAGTGAGCGAATCCCCTAGCTTACAGAATGATGACACGTGCAAGAAGATGGCCTTCTAGATGTTTTGTTAATCTTGATCTTGAATAGCTTAAATCAGCGATGCGAACCGGTTTGACATTTTTCATACAAACCGATTTCGGAATGATATCTCGAATTGGTTTCATTTGTATATTGAACAAAACAGAGCAAGTGGAACGTTCCGAAAATGTTTTGAATGGCGAACATACATTCACGCTATGTATACGTAAATATCGATGCTTTGAATGTATGAGTGTACAACATTGATGCTATGCACACAGTACAGCGCATCGCAGACTGCGATTTTTAAGACGTTCAGAACGTTTGTTTTCGGTTTGTATCGCTGGCTTAGATCCAAAATAGCTTATTTTCTAAAGATTATTCCACTTCCATCAACAGAGTGACAGTTTTTTTCTTTATCGTCGCATCGAGCGAAGAGATGCGTTAAATAGCAGCTATTTGTATATCCTCATAGCAACCTTGTATGGTCATAACGGATATTTCAGAGGAAACGTGGATAAAAATTGTTCAAGTAAAATCAAAATTTAATCGCATTAAAGCTACGAAAAATTACGCACTCTACGACGAAGAAGACAACGACAAAAAATGGTGATATTCCATTCACCACTTACTCGTTCGCTTCGAGACGCCACAGAAATCTCCATGAATTGAAATATTCATGATAATGTCGTATGCTTGAAAACCAAAATCTTTGTAAAACGAATTCGGTTTGCTACAGAAGATAAAAAAAGCTACAGTGACACATTTTAGTTTGTATTTGCAGTTGACCTCATTCAATTTACAGCATCAAGATTTGTACGAGGAATTCCCATATTCTTTGAGCAAATTTACATCAAAGCCCATTCATGTGATGTTTTGCTTTTGGAGATGAATGTGGGAGCAAGAGCAACCGCAAAGAAACGTTGAAATAAAAAAACACACACAAAAATCATTTGAATATCCAAATGCACTCGGCATGCAACCAACTTACAAAGTTTGGCTTTGTTCACCAAATTATCACTTCCCGCTGTAAGTGTCCAAACCTAATCGCCGTTTGCAAAATGCAGCAGACATTATAAGTTTGTTGGTATTGAAAGTTAAGTTGTTGTCCGACAGTCGAGAACTTTAATAAGCTATATTCGCATATTCGGTAGTTGGAACGATAACTAGGATAAATGGAAAAAAATAGACAAAATTTAATCTTATTTGCATGTAAAATACAGTGGACATTAATTAATTTGAATTCGAACCGAAAAAAAGATACATTCCATATTTTTCAGACATTTATCAATGATTTATTAAATAAAAAATGGTAATTTTATGGCCAAACAATGATTTAAATCCAAGTTATGTAATAAGCGACACGCGTGTAAATGCCAGGCAATTCTAAACCACAAACATTGCCAAAACTCACGATACCAACTATTGTGGCCTCGTTCGGATCATTATTGGGAATAAGTTGAAGTGGACCTACACTGTCTCCTTCGCAAGCATCTTTTTTTAACTGAATCGTATGCACAATACTGTCCGGCACTAGTGCCATTTCGAAAAGCCGCTGAATTCCACGTAAGCAGTCTATTATAATTCAAATATGTTTTGTTGCATTCACTTAACGGCATGTGTTTCAATTTTACGTAACTCATTTGATTGAAAGTTGAAGCCTAAAGTTAAAATGGAGAGCAAATAAGGCAAATAAGTTTTTCGAGTATTGTAAGTATTCAATTTTTTTCAATACAATTTTAAGTTACATCCCATGCAAATTTGTATCGTTTTTTAAGGAAAAATCAAAAAATATGGGGAGTACAAATTTCTTCAAATTTGGTGAGATTATGTATTTTGGCACGAAAATAAGATTCACAAGTTTTCATTGTGATTAAGTTACTGCAGACATACAAGAAGAAGAAGAATTATATTTTGATGTAGTTTTTCAAAAACACCTATATGTATCCCTTCATCTCTAGTGGTTATATTATATTCTACTAATTCCAATCACGAACTTAACAAAAGCTTCGTTAATTTGTTCTTCATGAGGATGCTTGTCATTAAAAAGAGCCGAATCTTTGATTTATGCACGTATTTAAGTAATTTCACCATGGATACATCGTCAGCATATCACTTTTGATCGCCCATATGTTAAATAATATTTTGTTATAAAATTTTCTGCATGGTAAAGGCAAAGGGGGGTGGAGATGGTGTGTACAAATGAAAATGGTGCGTGGAAAATATTTTATTCGCACGAGCGAACGCATTTAGTCGTTGCTAACATTCGAGCAACGTGTCAAGCGATGCGAACCACGTTTTCCTCGTTGTAGAAACCGTTTTATTTTCCATTCATTTTCATGCGAATATTCTTTTTTCGCTCTCTCCAAACTCAATTCGACTCTTATTTGAAATTTTTACATTTCCGCACACACCTGGGTATGTATTGCAATGGGTCAACATTTTAGGACACTTTTAAAAAGATGTGTCGAGTTCAGAGAACCCGGATCCCAGAGAAAAGATATTTAAAATCTGATTTTACAGAATTATTGCGGGGAAAAGAAATCATTAGTTTTTGGGGCGTCATCTGATAATCGATAATATTTTATTGCGATAGACAATTAGCATGACATCTATCTATCAATTAGTATGGATGTATGGACCATCGTGCGGAAAAGTTCGTCTTACTGTTGTAAGATTCTTTATTGCTTTTGCATTTTCCTTTTGATTTCTCTCGAAAGCGCTTCGAAGTGTATTATTTGGTTTGTTTGATTGCTGATTTGAATGCGCAACTGAAAACGAAGAAAGACCGATTTTCAAGTGGATCGGCAAATAAATAAACCGGTACACATACATGTTGTGAATCGAGTGTGAGATAAAGAGAGAAAACGAGCGAGAGAGGGGGTGAGCTGGTGTATGGTAAGGTCGATATGTGGTTGGTTTGAGTTAAATTCTACTAGAAAATATCCGCATGACACACAGTACATGAGTCAAAGAACATGCATTGATCACATGAAACATATGTAGGAAATAGAATAAACGTTGTTCCATCACAATATTGTTTCGTTAACACATATTCTATCTCTTTTTCCAATCACTCATTCACATCTATATCTAAATCACTTTTGAACATCTCGATGCAAATACATCTACATATATCGAGAGAGTATGTGTTCTTTCCAATCACATTCACATTTAGCCTCGTGCTCATTGTCAGAAACAAATCGAAGTTAAATTGAGAACTCGGAAATAAATGGAAAATCGACACGAATAAAAAATGGGCCACATCACTCTTGCACTCGAGCAATTCAAAGCTTGACTGCTGCCTGAAATCAGACATTGAGCAAATACACCATGGTAAATTACCATTTGAAACGAAGAAAGGGAGCGAGCGTGTGTGTGTGTGAGTGTGTGTATGAAAAAGAGTGAAATTATGTTAAGATGTAAATTTTCGATTTCTAGTTTGATGGCGGTTGTTCACTCCAACCAAGAACCACAGAACCAAGTCGATTTGCACTTTCTCTGCCATTCATATGGGGCAACGATGCCAATTACGCATCAGATGACATGGTCATACAAAGACGGAAAATCGGTTCCAGTAAAAAAGCTTGCTTATTTAGCTGAACGTAATAAAATTGAGATATTGCCGATATTAACGTTCAAAGTGACTAGATATAGTGTGCTTCAATCCTGATGTGAAGCGTGCTGAGCAAAAAAAAACACACACCACCGAAAGCACCAATCGAAAGCAGCATGCATTTGAACGGTTCTTTTTAATTTGAACGATAATAATTCTTAGCGAAAAAGAGATCGAGCGTTTCAGTTTGATTCATTTGTTGTCTTTGTGAAAGTGGATTCATGTGTGTGAGCCATTCTCATTGAAAGTTTCTTTCTTCGGGGCAATCGCATGCATAGAATATATGTTTCGTTCCGATTTTTCATCGCCTCCCATGTTTGGCAACGTTTTCCTCTATTCACTTTATCTCTTCATTTCGCGTAATACTTGTAGCGCATTTAATACTTTTAATCTCAATGTCCATTCTGCGTCGCAACTAACCGTTTTTCCTTCATCCATTTTCCAGTGATTCATTTTTGTTAGATTTCCACTCTCGTACACTTCACGCTGTCATTCAGCTAGGAATGTTCCTTTTATTCCTTCTCTTTCTCATTTCTTGTTTTTTTTTTTTGCTTTCGTACACACTCATTCATCTCGTTTGCTGGCTCACTTTCTTCAACTTGGGATTTTCAGTCGGTACCGCAAAATCATCGAGACAAAAATAAATAACGAAAAAATCAGAGTGGCAAAAAAAAGCCACCCCATTCAAGACAAGAAAAATAAAAGAGCACCGAAAATTCTTTTATTTAATTTGAAGCAAATCGTCTTTCATGCACAAGCTACTGATCGAACGAAAAGACGAACTAAAGTGGATGCGAATTGTGGATGCATTTGTCTGCAAATATGAGTGTATGTGTGTGTTTTTGAAATCAATAGAGAAAAATATTTGTTAAAAGGACCATTGAAAGCCATTTTAAAAGGGATTGAACAGAACTACATTCAATTTCATCGAAATATAGAGCACAGTGATCCCAAAACGAACATTTAACAT